AATTTGATGTCATGCAAGTAACACAGTTAATAAGATACAACAAACTTTTCTTTACGCTAATTAATTAATTTCATTTTGTACATCCATTTACGGGAATGTTTTAATTTAATTTTTTGCTTGTATTACAATTCTCATATTTCCAAAACCGCTTTCCACTATTTAACAAAATTATTTACTGTAATTACTGTTTGTATTCCCTTTTTTAATAGTGTATTAAACCTTTCTTGGATGAAATATAAAAGAAATGCTCTTACAGAGAGTGATAGACGATTAAATCGGTAATTTAAAAGTCAAATATCAAAATATAAGTAAATAATACCAAATCAATCGAAAATAAATGCACTCTTTGATGCGTAATCTTTTAATCTTTCATTCAACATGAAATTCGTTGCACATTTTTAAAGCCAATTTGAATTTATATTGCAGAAAGAATGGCGAGAGCATTATTCTGAATTTAAAAGGAAAGTTGCTCGTTGTGTGCGGAAGTCGCAAGAAGAGTGTTAGTATAGCCTTTAAAAATAAACATTATGAAATTTTGTGGTAACATCAGTAACGGTTTCGTGAAATCCGCAGTTTTCATTTTCTTTTAATTAATTCACTTTGTTCAAACGAGTAGATTTTATGTATAATTTTTGAGACCTTCTCGCTTCCTTTTGGGAAGCGTAGAAGATACGAACCTAGCCTGCCTCAGTCTCCGACCATGCCTTTCCCAATTCCTCGTTCCTCCCCCAGTCCCCTCATCTGCATGAGATCTCGAAACGGCGCAAAAAACATATGTTCATATATTTTTTTTATTAAAACCGAGGCGCATCTACTGTGTGATTTTGCTTTAAACAAATTTATTAATTCAAATGATAAAAACTCTTCTATTAAAAAGTTTATATTCCTGATCTAAGAGTGTACTTTTCATATTCGACATTTACCTCAAAATTATTAGTTTTTCTTTAAAACTCGCAACACCTGTATCGGTCTTGGTTGGAATGCAGAAATAATTTAAATTTCCCTCTAAGGACAGTGCGAATTCTAGTGAAAGGAAGATAAAGCTTCAACGAATCTACCATACAGAACTCGTGTCAGCCGAGATACAAACCTCTCCGGAAATAACATATGTTTGACGAAGTTTCATGCGGTCTGTGGGTACGACAACTTCAGCCATTTTCTGTCGAAAAGTGTTTATTTTCTAGATTTTGATCAAAATTAAAATCGCAATTAAATGTCAGAACCACAGTCTGCACTTTTATTAAGAAAACAACTTGCAGGTGAGTCAATTTCGTCTACAAAATTAGTCTCGTGACAGTTGCCTTTGTTTTTAAAAAATGTGATTAATATATTAGCACAGTTATACTTGCAAATTGGGTTTTATTTTATCTGATACTCGACCTTTCAGATAGTTTTTATAATTCACATTATTTGTTATATGTCAATTAATCGTAAGCAACCCGTTTAATTTCATCTTACGTTCGAAAAATCAATAATCCTTTTTTATATTTGATTTTGAGTGTTAATTTTGCTTATTAAAGCGTTTAGGTTCGAGTTACGAAATCCTTTCTTTATTTACGTAACTGGTTTTCTTTTGGCTTGCTTAAATATTTTTATTTTCTTTGTGAAAATTTACACAATTATCAAATTACTACAGTATCACATTTTTGACATTAGGGCGGTTTGAAGGTTAGAATTTGTAGGGCATGCTAAGATGTCACGACTTTGTTTATGTTACTGTGAAAACGAGATAATATTTACATTTACGAATTATACTGCCCTTTTTCATTTTTGTATTACATATTTATCGAAATTTTTTTTAGTACCTTTATGTCAGTTGTACTTAACCTCACTTTTATTTATGGTATTGTTTTATTTATTCCACATTAATTAATCTATTATGTTTTAGAACTTAATAAAAACCCTGTAGAGGGATTTTCCGCAGGCCTTATAGATGATAATGATATTTATAGATGGGAAGTATTAATAATTGGTCCTCCAGACACATTATAGTAAGTCACTTTTGAGGTAGTAATACAATACCAGGTGACTTTGCTTAATGACTTTTCTTTATTTATTGTAGTGAAGGTGGGTTCTTCAAATGTCATTTATATTTTCCCAAGGAATACCCACTAAAACCACCAAAAATGAAATTTATAACAGAAATTTGGCATCCCAACAGTAAGTACTCTTTTCCATTACGGTTGTCATTTAATGATATTATATTTGCAAATTGTTTGCTTGTTTTCCTTTCATTAAATTACAGTTAGAAATGGAATACATTCTAAGTGAAAGCTTAGTTAAACTAGAAAAATATTTACATGTAGCTTAATCAGTAAATATTTATTTACTTATGTTCTTTTTTAGTTGATAAAAATGGGGATGTTTGTATATCAATTTTACATGAACCTGGGGATGATAAATTCGGATATGAGAAAGCATCAGAACGGTGGTTGCCTGTCCATACTGTAGAAACTATTTTAATTTCAGTTATATC